GATATAAAGCACATCTACTTGCTCAAGGTTATAAGCATAAGAGTTTATGATGGAACATTTGTTCTAGTTGTTAAAATGATTACTGTGGATACAATAATTGCCCTCTTAGCTATTCCCTAGTGGACTATCTCTCATATAGATGTGAAAAATACATTTATTCTACGACATTTGAAAGAGATAATATATATGCAACCTCCTCTTGGGTAATTATCATGACAAGTCTATAATCTATGGTTTGAAAAAATCCTTGTATAAGTTAAAACAAGCTCCAAGAGCATATTTTGAACGATTTCAACAGGAAATTTTGGGTGATGGGTTCATTACCACCATTGTTCCTCAGGGATAACAACTCTTCTCCAATATGTTGATAATATCTTTATCACATAAAATAACTATATAATATACAATGCATGAAAGAGCTTCTCAGTTACACATTCAATATAAAAGAGTTGGTTCCATTGACTTACTTTGTTTCCCTAGAGATTCATTAATCCCTTGATGAATATATAGTTGATCAAAAGAAGTACACCAAAGGTTTGATTAAATCGTTAACTTAACAATTGATAAAAGAGTGGATACTCTAACAGAGGCAAATGTAAAATATAGAAAGGATGAGATGGACAAACTTCCATATCCCATTCTTTATAAATAATTAGTTGGTTGTCTACTTTATCTCACTATGATTCATCCTGATATATCACATGTAGTATTGATAGTTAGCCATTTGTTGCATATCCTTGTCGTATCCACCTCCCAGTTGTTCAACGTGACATTCGATATTTGTGAAGTACATGCCACACGATTATTTTTCTCTAATTCTCCTCTCCAGATGCAAGCCTATCTGTATGCTAACTGGGCGAGATGCCCAGATACATGACGCTTGACCACTAGATGATGTATATACCTTGGGAACTCACTCATATCACGCAAATATAAGAAACAACAAATTGAGTTGAAATCTTCTGCAGAATGCGAATATAGGGCCCTGTTCTCAGCTTGCAGTAAAATCACTCAGTTCAGAGGTCTCTTACGACACTTGAATATTCTTCATTGATTTCTTATGCCTTTATATGTCGGTAATATGAGTGTCAGTCATATTGCCTTTGAATCAATGTTCCATGATTGCACAAAGCATATGGAAGTTAATTATCATTTCATTCGTAAAACAGTCCTAGCTAGAGAAATTATACTCTTACACATTACCTCGTACCAACAACTTCCATATATGTTTGCTAAGGCAATGACTCGAGCTCGCCATAACTATCTCATTGACAAATTGATGTTGTTCAACCAACCTCAATTTGAGGGGAGTGTAGAGATCGTTGAAGATCTTGTAATTACTTTGTGTATCATATCATATATAAAAAATGTAGTATTTCATGTCAGATATTGTATTTCAATCATATAAAATTATAGCAAACGAAATGTGTATTACTTATGGGAAAGTTTATATAAGGTTGCAACCTTAAAATGTAGAATTACAGATGCACCTCAAAAATCCATTGGAAAATGTTGTTTTAATAGTGAAAGACCCTCTAATTGATCATCTCGATATTGAGATGTATGAATGTATAAAAAAAAAGATTTTGAGTCCTAAAAATAGTGTACCTTGCAACACATTATCTAGAACATCAATTTTCAAGATTTTCACATGTTTATAGATCTATATGATTTTAACAATTTTTGGAGTTTAAAATTTTATAATTAGATATGAAAATACAGTTTTAGATAATCCTAAGAAAGTTTTACAACAAAATTACATGTTATGATAAAATTTGCGTCTTAATTGGATTATTTAAGGTTGCAACCTTACAGAAACCGCACTCATTACTTATTGTACTCTTACTTTTTTGTGCAAGTTAACTTGTCATGTAAGTTACCTCTAATTATATATATATATATATGTTGATAATAATGAATAGAAACAAGTTTTCCTTTTGCCTCTTAGAGTGTTTTACATTTCTTACAAATGCCACAATTAAACTTAGCCTTGAGGTCCAAAATTAAGCCGTGGGTTGTGCTACAAAGTATGATAAGACCTTTTTATGGACGTCGAACGTTGTTAATGGTGCACCTCGAATTGCCCAATGCATGTATTCTTGCTAGTATATATCAGAGATTACATACCAAAATGGAAACTTCATTGTATTTCTTGACTAATTTAGGTGAACTTGTTCACATCAATCCGTTTTAATAAGGGATTTCCTTATGACAGTGAATAGCACCCTAACCAACATTGGTGAGGTATTCGACTTAACCAGAATTGTAACCAACATTGGTGAGGTATTCGACTTAACCAGAATTGAATCAACAGGCAGTCGACAAGTGTGGAAAAAATATAAAAAATAAAATAAACATGAAAATAAAAATTAAAAATAAAGTGTCGTACAAAAGAGTTGGTTAACTTTGTTTAATCGGTTCCAAACTAGCCAGTTGGACCGGTCAAACATTAGTTTTGACTGATTGTCGACCAAATCTAATTTTTGTTTTAGACTAGACTAAGTAGGGCAATGGTCGAAAATAACTACGGTTTGAAGTTCTTTTCTTGTACCATTCCAAATTATGGAAAAGCATAGGCTACCAGATTGCAAGTGTGATTGGAATCTAGTTGCACAGGCTATCCACTCCATTGAGTCGCACTTTTTGTTTTTGGAATCCATTGAGATTTAATTGTACGGTTGACGACCTAGTGGTGGATTGTGCTAGGTGATTTTAAAAAATGGATTAGTGACCCGATCCGGCACGCCAAAAACTGTTCCGGATTGGTATCGGCAATTCGGATCGCCATTTTACTCTGTAGAAAAAACAGTGAACCGACAAAAAAACATATAAAAAAGTTGAGAACTGGCAAAAAACCGATCCGGAACGATGAATTGGCAGTCCGGATCACCATTTTACTATAGAGAATTGTTGTTTAACTATGTGGAACTGGCGGCTCCCTTTTAGATTTGGTTGTTTTCCTATATATACATAGAACTGGAATGAGATGAACGATTCCAGGATCAGACCTGGCAATTCCATGCCGACCCAGCATTTTTTAAATAATTGATTGTGATATAAGGAAGCAATGTGGAAAACGATTTTGACGGTGGGTGTCCAGATTGTTCACGTAGACCGAAGGCTTAATCTTACTTAAGAGCCTTTTTAATGGGACTCCAAAATTCCCAATTCTTATTTAAGTCACTTTGAGATCAAGCTAGAAAGAAACAAAATTGATTTAGAGTTCACAAAATGCTCTATCCCTTACATTTCAAAAGGGTGATTTAGAGTTTAAAAATGCTCTATCCCTTACATTTCAAATCAAAAGGGTGATTTAGAGTTTAAAAATGCTCTATCCCTTACATTTCAAAAGGGTGATTTAGACTTCAAAAAGGCTTTATCCCTTACATTTCAAAAGGGTGTATTTATTAAAAGATAAAAGTGGGAGGGTTGGATGTTAGTATTCCATTTCTGATATTATTTCGATTACTGCCTTTTTTTATTGACTTTGTTGTTATGTAACTCGATCATGTCGGTTCTGGTCTGTGACTTCTAGAATTGGCCTCGAATCCAAACTGAGTGAGTTATGTTGGCTCTTCTGAGTTTCATTCTGTTTGACTCAACTGTTTTCCTTGTATATGGAAAAGATATGAAATTTTGCATGTTGCTTGAGCCTACTCTGTTCGGTCCATTTGTTCCTGAGGCCTACTGATATGTTGTTGCTCGAGCCTACTCTGATCATGCCATCTGTTCCTAAGGCTTGTTGATTCTCCACTGCTTTCTACGCTTGTTGATCAAGCAATCTGAGCATGACAACCACTACATCTACTAGTCTTGCTCTACACCTGAAGATCCAACTACTTGTTTCCGCAATTAGTGTTCAAACTTCAGCTGCCCTTTTTCATAACATCTTGAGTTTAAGAGCGAATGTGAAAGGAAAGTATATATTGCATATCCGGTTAATATGAAAGGTGTGTTGTAATCTGTATATTTGGAAATGGTAGATACAATATCTTGTACTTATATAGGACAACATGACTAAAGTATAGGTGGTTACCACCATGACCCAGCCTCATTGCCGTGGGGAAGTAATATTGTAGAACATATAATTCACATGGATCAAATGTTGGTTGATAAAATATAACCTAGCGAAAACGAATCATCAAAATATTAGTTGTCGGGATCAAGTCCATAGTTCCATGGGAAGACCGCTGAATTTGCAAACTTTTCTTGATAGATTTTTCATCTAACGGCATCCCCAACCTAAAAGACTGAGAAAAATAAAAATGGAAAAAAATTAAAGAAAGAAAAAAACGAGTCAGTGAGTAATGAAAGTAGCCTAAAATTTTTGATAGGGTTGTAGCCCTGTCAAAATAAGTAAAGTTGAAGTTCACCGAAAATTATAATTTTGAAGTAAAAAAACATTCAAATTAATCATCTCGTGTTTGACTATTATGGTATTGAAAAAAAATAGGATATCAAGCCCTATAAAATAATATACATTGTAACACATTATCTAGACCGTCTATTTCGCCCTAAAAATAAGTGTTCACGGATCCATAAGATCTATACCCATTTTCTAGTTTGAAATTTCATAGTTATGAAAAATTAATTTTAAAGCCATCGTGGATATTTTCCATACCCAAAGTACTTTACAGATGAGGATTCGAAATGGGGCTTTATTTTATTTTCATAAAACTTGGATCTTATAAAAACTGTATCCATTTATTTATGTGTTTGTTGTAGATTTAAAATTCTAATAATGCCAAAGAATGATGCTGGCACTAGTAGTGGCATCCGTTTGTCCAACCAATTAAATGTAAACCGGGCTGACAAACAAATAAAAGAGTTAAAGGGCAGACATTCTTGGCTTGAGATGCGATTGTAAATGAGTAAATAAAAGAGTTAAAAGGGCAGAGACATTCTTGGCTTGAGATGCGATTGTCTTTTGTGTTTTTTTTGCAGCCATTCCAAGGCACAGAGGCAACTTTATCCAAAGAAAAAAGAGGGTGGATTCAGTAGATTCTTGAAGTCCTTTTGCTCTTTCCATGTCAAATAAACAAAGAAATATAAAACGATGACGTACACATATCAAGAAATCCTGGCCCCTAATCCCCCGTGAGGTGTAAGGCCTCTCACTCTCTCTATCAATGGAAGCCCAACGTTTGCTTTTCTTTAGCCTGCATGAAGACCAAAGTTGGATGCAAATTACTTATAAATAAAAAATAATTAAAAAAATAAAAAAAAGGTAACCAACACACGCCTCTCTCTCTCTCACATACACAAACACACACAGAGACTCACTTGCTGCTTTTCTTAGAAAGGATAAGACAACGACGAGAAGCGCAACGCCCGCTAATACGCCTATTATTATGGCAACCGTTCTTCCAACATCATCCTCACTTGAAGAACCTGGTATACAACAACAGATCCAATGTTCAGTCAAGCACCTAATGCTTAAGAACACACACACATTGTTTTTAGTGAAATTCCTAGAGAGACTGACTTCCAATAGGCGTTTTTACCACAGGTCTAAAAGAAGATATACACAAATAAGAATTGACAAAAAGAGCAGAACAATTTTCTTTGAATACATTTATAACATGCACAATCATTTTACACAAAAGCCAAGTGTAAATTCAACTCTCTGTTAGGGTCTTCCTGGAATTATTAGATTTTCAGTTAGGAGGGGGATGAGCAGAATCATATTCCATTTATTGGGCACCCAAGATGTTCTTGTTCCATGCAATAAGTAGGAACATAGGCATTTATTTGTTCTTATGCTCCTCTTCTTAGGTTCTATTCTTCCAAAAAAATGAAAAATCACAAAGATAAAAAGGATAGAGAAAAGGAAAAGGATAGAACTTAAAAGACCCGCCGTCCCCGTAATGAAAAATTGGCAATCTCCCTTAATCCGAGTTAAGATTTTATTTAGTTTGGATTAATAGATATTAAAAGATTAATTAGTACTAACATATTCCATTGATTAATTTGGATATGAGTTTCGATGGAGAAAAATGGCAGAACAAGATTCAAGTAACCAACTACAAATAATTGGAATAAGACCTGGATGATGATAATAACATTTCATTGAGGTTGCCATGGGAATCTCATAAATTCAAAGAGTGCTAGATGTATGGATAAGATTAGAATGGCATTCCAGGATAAAAAAGAAAGACAAGAAAGATAATCTCGTACCTAGAAAAAAAGAAAGACAAAAGAAACTCTTACCATCACTCGATGTTAAAATAGTGGGATGCCAGTCCGATGCAATTTAACCTTTATTATGACTTTTAAGACACTACGCGCTTGCTTAGTGGTAATTAAAAAAGGAAAATGTAAAAGAGGAACAATGCATTATGCAAAAGGGCAAAGCAGCCATAAGTGACCTGCAAAACTTGTCTTGAAGTGGCGCCCATCTCGAGAAAATATATTTTTGACCTAAATCAAAAGCGCCATCATTATTGTTTCAAAGGAAAGTGGAGTATTTTACATTCTTATTAAATTGGGGCTGAATTCACCAAGTTTTGAATACTTCAAAACAGTCATTTAAAATTCGAATCGGTGTACAGATCGTCTACGCATAAATCCCTGTAAAATTGGTGGATCAATGATTCGGGTAAGGATTAAAAAATATTCAATAACTCAATAAAAATAAACAAATAAATAATTGGAACCTGAAAAACATTAAACAAGCTTAAAAAACAAACAAAAAAATATATAAGATGTGGGACTTATAAGAGAACCAGACCGAAACCCATATCATTTTAAAATCGATTGTCTCAACCAATTTCCACTCGAATACTACTTCAAAAGTTCGAAGTTTTGAAAAAAATACTTCATCTTAATGAGAATTGATTGGGTCCACTTCGCTTCAATTAAGGGGACTGAGCCCAAAGGTTTCGGCCCTAAACAAGCCGAATATGAAATAACAAGAGCATTTTTCAAGCATCACTGGGGCATCAGATGTCAATAGAGGTGATGTCATGACCCATCCACTAACAATTAATCAAAACGCTTTTTAAATTTTTTTTTTTTCTTTTTCTTTTTTTTTTTGGGGAGGGGGGGCATATGGCACAAGTGCCTCCTGAATAAAATTCATTTGGAAGAAAGGAAGGCATCAAGGGTCTATTGACTAAGTTTAAGATTCCCTCTAAAAATTGGAAAATTCTCCTACTAAGTGGAAACATCCCAAATTTGGGAGCTGGATTTGAGAGTGAATGGATATTGCTTTTTGACTTGAACCTCAGTATCCCAGCTTGTGGGGTTCGAATCCCGAGCTTGCCAATGAAAAAAGGAAATGCAATGTGGCAGTAAAAAGGGAAACTTAGAGATAGTAAATAATGCCCCAATTCCGAAAAGGCCAATGCACGTGATGGACAGGCTCCTAGGGCAATGTAACATTGGATGCTCGCCAGCTAGGTAGGGCATTTTCAGAGTTACCATAAAGTAGAGGAACTTGAGACAAATTACGAAATATTCCTTTGGAGATTTTTGGGCAGGCAAAAAGAAGTACAAATTTTAAAGATGCCATTACAATACTAACCTAAGATTTAATAGGAATGATGGAATGACAAGGAATGGAGTGTGGTTGTTTTTGGGCCTTTGGAGTTCTTTAATTTGGAAGAATTTGGGTGGGAGGGCCCATTGGTTGAGGCCATCCTTTGGGCCATTCTTGCTGGTAAACAACCTTGGTACGAGTGAACAAGCAATAAGGGCCACAAGTCAAAACACAATATCCAAGATTGAAATCCTATTTGGACCAAAAAATATAGTGTGAGACCCAGACCCGATTGGATCTTGAGTCCCTAAACCCGGACCCAGATTCAGACCCAAAAATATATAGTGGGATTTCGATCTAAGTTTGAACCAACCGATCCTAAAAAAACAAAATATTTATATATTTAAAGATATTTAGCTTTCATAGATGGACGTCACAATCATTCCCACTTATAAAATGTCAAATTGTATACCTTGAGGTGAGTCACGAAGTCCAATTTTTTTTATTTTTTTTTGGGATCTTTGCGTCTATTCAATGATACTCTTACAACTACCCATTTTAAAATTAAAAAAAAAAAAATGATTGTGACCTATATGTACAAAAGATAAATAGTGTTTTTATAGATAATCCTTATATATATACATATTATTTAAATATTATAATTATAAATATATGTATTTAAAATAAATTAATAAAATTTTGGTCGGGTCCCGATCAGGTCTACATGGACCCAAACCCAAATACTATTTGGGTTTAAGATTTGGACCCATACACCAGTCAAGCCGACTATTGGATCTTGAGTCGGTTCCGGATCCATTGTCACCTCTAATTAGCCCATCTTAAGACAAAGGTTGAGGAAATGGCCGATTTATTTCCATGCACCAGGTACATGGGACTTCAATGTCTTTGGACCTTCCATTCGCCATTGTCCAATCAAGGGTACAAGAGGCGCTCCTCAAGTATAGGCAATGGGTGGCCCACATTACTTGATTGGGCTGGACCCCATGTGGGAAGGGACCGTCCAGATGTGTTGGACTCATGGAAAGTCCTATGGCATTGTTTAGGGTACAACCTGGTTTGCAATTACGCTGTTACTTCGGTCATTTATAAAAGGAAAATGGTTTGCTCTCAAAATAAATAACGCCTCACCTCATAACTTAATGAAAATTACAATTCAAGTATTGAAAAACCTTCACATAAATCATCTTGGCTTAACTATTATGGTCATGAAAAAAAAAAAAGGATTTCAAGCTCTAAAAATAATTTATATTATAATAAATTATCTAGACCGTCAATTTCACCCTAAAAATAAGTGTTCATAGATCTACAAGATCTGCAAGATCTGTACTATTTTTTTAGTTTCAAATTTTATTATTGGTGATGAAATTTAGTTTTAGATCCATCATGGAGATTTCCATTGCCGAAAATGCATTCGGACGAGGATTTGAGGTGAGGCTTTATTTTGTTTTCGTAAAACCTATGCCTCGTAGAAACTTCATCCTTTAATAAATTCTGAGTCATTTCTCTCAAACAAGGTTTAGAAAAAACGTCGCTCCGGATTAGAACCGACCGATTCGAATTGGGAATCGCAAGGGGTGAACCAATTTTCATAAAATATTGGGAACCGGCCGGTTCCCCCATGGCATAGCCAATTCCCGTTGAGAACCGGTCAAAATCGGCCCTCTTTTTTCTTTTCTTTGTTTCAAATTTTTTAATCATAGTTTCGTGAAATTGAATCGCTGTCTGGATTGTCATTCCACCAAACCGGATCAGCAATCCAGATGCATGATTCGGTTCACCAATATGTGTTTAATATCCTTAAAATTTTAAATGACTAGTTTAGGGATCTCAATCACCAGTCCAATTATTAGATAAAAAATCGAAATATACGATCCAAGTCACCGATCCGTTTTTTAAAACCTTGCTCCAAACAAAATGGTGGGACTTGACGGTACGTTAGTAGTATCCCGAAGCCAAATAAAATGGAAAACCATTTGCCCACTCAAGGAATATTTGTTGCTTGCTTAAGCAAGTGAAAAGAAACAAGAAAACGAATTAAAGGTATAAGACGCTCGTCAAAAACATAAAGGAAAAAGTGAAAAAGCCTTCATTTTTCAATCCAAAACTAAGACTTTCCCGGTTTTACCGTTCTAACCCAACAAAAATGTTCACTTTTCCCCTAGGTTTCCCCATGGACAAACATTATCAATATTATATCTTAGGGTTTGCAACAAACCCAATGTGCCTACTTTGTCATCACTACAATTTAACAAAATTGAGGAAGCCTTTTAAGTTTGGGTGCACTTTGCATAAGGTGTCTACCTTACACAATTAAAGGAAGGTGCACCTCGACGTTTTATTAGAAGGCGTAATTTTGGCGTTTAAAAACTTTAGATGAGAAAAAACCTATTTTCAGCTTTAATGATGAATTTAAAATTTTAGAAATAGTATAGACCAAACATATCTAGAAACACTAAAAAATCTAAAAAATAGATTGTCTAGATAATGAGTCACAAAATGTACTATTTTTAAGGCTTGAAATCATTTTCTTTGTTCATGTCTATATATCTTGATGTTGACATGATCAATTAGAGGGTTTTCAAGAGTCGTAACAACTTTGCTCAATGGGTTTTTGAGGGGTGTCTTACTTGTACAATATAAGGTTGACACCTTATATAACAGAGTGTCTCTTAATTATTTGCTAAAGATAAGTAAGTCGGCATAAATAATTTTGGATCTATACTACAACTATGTTTCAACCAGTGTTTCAAAATCCGGATCACTGGGATGGATCATTCACCACCCATAGATTCGTTGGGATGGATCAGTGTTCCAAATTGGGTCTAGATCGGTCTGAATCCATAATCCAAAAGAAATTTAAAA